CTAGGGGGGCCAGCCCCTCTCCTGCAGGCCTGTTTCCTTGACCTGAAAGGGACCAGGGCTGCCCTCCCAGGTGCTGTATGGGCTGGAAATTTTGAGAGGGAACGGAGCCTGGGTTTGGGGGGCTGGCGATGGGTGAGTGGGGGAGGGGGAAGCCCTGACCCTTCACTGCCCAGCCAGGCCTTTTATCGATCTGGCAGCATGACCGTGGGGACCCTACTAGCCCTGGGCTGTGAGCAAGCGGCTTTCCCCCTCTGAAACTCATTTCCTCGGCTGTGAGATGGGTACATAAGCTGAGCCTCTAGGAGAGTTAGCAGGCAGGGGCCCGGCCTGGGCCTGGCCTGCTGGCCCAGGGTCCACCTGTGTGTATTCAGGAGGCTGGTCCTGCCCGCTCTGCCCAGGTCTCGGCATCACATCGGCAGGCCCTGCCCGAGCGGGCCTCGGTTTCCTCCGCTTCGCACCACTTGGCCTGGGTCCAGCACCCTCCCACCAGGGCGATGACTTGGTCCATTTTTGGATCTGGCCCACGCCTGCAGCCACTGCTATGAGAAGATTGTTAGGGCACTGGGGGGACAGCAGGGTGTTGGCCACACCCCTGCAAGAGTGGGCTGCCCCCACCTGGAGCCAGGGAGGGGGCCTGGGAAATGCAGTGAACGTGCACACCACCCCAGGACAAACGGACGGTGACAGTGAGTGTGAGAAGCGAGTGAAGACCAAGAGGGGACAGACAGAAGGCGGGGGATGGGTGGTGAGCCCGTGGTAGGTGGAGGGCTGGCGGGGAAGGGGAGAGCGGGCACAGCACTGCCTGACCCTCCCAGGCAGGTGGACACCGCTGGCTCCACCCCCGCCTGGAGCTATTTCTGGCCTCGGTGTGCTGAGCTCTGGCCTCTGGCTCTCCGTTGTAACTGCGGTCTGTGCCGTGCCCCTGCGAGGGATGTTCTCGGTGTTCGAGAGGATTCCGAGTTGACCGCTGTCGTGGCTACGCTATAGCTGCCCAGCCCTCTACAGCCCACTGACCCCAGTCTCCTGGGGCTGGGGGGTGGCAGGCAGCAGCTCAGAGCCTTCCTAGAAATGTCCCCTCCCAGCCACCAATGGCACAGGAGGGAGCCCTTTGGCCCAGCACCTGTCCACGTCCTCCCAGCCTGGGTCCCTTCCTGCGGAGGTCACATGGTGGCTACTCCTCAGGCTTGGGCAGGAGGCGGTGTGGCTCTTCCCATCTCCCACCTTTCCTCCTGGACCCGCTCCCATGGGGGCAGATCAGGGCCTCACCACTCGCTGTCTCGGTTTCCAAATCTGTAAAATGGGCTCATGGTACTGGGAAGAAAATTGATTCTTATGCAGCTGAGACTCACACCTTTTATACCAGTGGGCATTTCTGCCACCTGATTGCCGAGTGGGAGCACCAAAGCCCCAGGGCGCTGAACCAGTGTTTGCCTTAGGGATGGCGGCAGAGGGCCTGGTGTGGGTGTGTGTGTAGCTCAGGGGGCCTGGCGACCTGGTGTGGGGCCACGACAGTGACAAGGGCCTTGGGGGCATGTTGCGCCCTGGTTTCCTGTGCACACTGTGGTTTCCATGTGTGTGCACCGTGGTTTCCATGTGTGCGAGCCAGAGCCACAGCAGGGCTGTCTTCTCGCCACACGTGCCTGCAGGCAAGCTGGCACTAGTGGTCGCTGAGGACCGGGGCCCAGAGAGGCTGGGCCCAGCTGGGAGATGCGGCTGGGGCAGGCGGGCAGTCAGGCTGCAGCCCGTGGGCAGGCGGGCTGGGGTGCAGCCTGCAGCCTCTAATGAGCAGAGGGAGCCTTAAGGGTGTAGACCTAGAAGCCAGAGAGGCCTGGCTCCGGGGGCTGCAGAGGCCAGGGAGATGGGGGACAGAGTGAAGGGAGAGGCAGAGGGGACAGGTGGGTGGGAGAACGGGATGGGACGGTGAGGAGACGGGACAGGAAGGTGTTTCAGGGCTGGGAGGGGCTGCAGTCCACAGTGGGTGTTGCACAGATCAGGTGGGCGACTGGGCCCGCCCAAGGGGCGGGGTTGGGGGACAGCCTCCCATTGCCTGGCTTGGTCTCTGGTGTCCCCAGGGCCCCTGCGGTGAGTGTGAACCCACACTGCAAAGTTGGGTTTGAATATCTCATATAAAGATGCCCCCTTCTGCTTGCTCAGCAGAGGGGTTGCCATGGAGACCAGCGGGCTGGCCCCAAGCAGGGCGGGACTAGAGCCAATTATTGCGGCTGTGCGAGGCGAGAGCCCACCGCCTGCTCCTGCCCCGGCAGCAGGGCCCTGTGCCCAAGGGCCGTGCCTCTGAAGTTGGTTTCCGAAAAGCAGTTGGCTCAGCGGGAATGGAGCCACGTCTTTGTGCCTGATGCCCGCTTCCCAGCAGGGCTGAGCCGCTCAGCCCCTCTGCCAGCCGCCCCCGCCCTCGGTGGTTCGGCCAAGGCCCAGAACCTTCCTTGGGGCATTCTTAGAGTGGGGGTGGCCCCAGGTGCACCATCTCCCGAGGACCCAGGCTGGGGCGGGCCAGCCATCAGAGCAGCCGGCCCCCATTCCGGTGAAGTCAGCTGAACATGACACCAGCCTAGCTCAGACTGTAGAGCAGGCCTGGGCGCCACGGAGCACTGCGCAACAGCAGTGTCTCTGGGCCAGCGAGGCGGCAGCACGGATACAGTGGTGGCTGGTGACACAGCCGGTCGGGGGTGTGGCCTGGGCTGTGGCATGGTGCAGCTGTGGCATGGCAGAGCCGTGACAGGACCCGCCCTTGGTTCTGCTGAGGTGGGATCAGAGCCTGGCCCGGTGAGTACCTGCGGCCCCGCCCCACCCCACCCTGGGTCTCAAGGACAGGAAGTGCTGTTTTCCTAGCACAGTGACATCCTGTGACAGCAGGTGAGATGCTGGTGGGAGCTGGCTGGCATAATGAGGCCTGACTTCCCGAGGAGGCCCCACGAGGAGGGAGCCGGGGAGGACGTCAGCAGTATAAATAGAACAACTGCCGGAGCGGTGCCCCTTGCCGCCTCCCACTCGAGGCCAGCCAGGAGGGGTGCCCAGAGCTTGGGGGATCCTGGGCCGCGCCTGTCTCTCTGGATCCCCACCCTGGGGCTGCCACATCCCCAGCAGGTGACAGAGGACAGAGGAGGTCCCCAGACTGGGGAGGGGGCAGCTGGGACCTGGGGATCAGAGTTTGGGTGTGCACGCCCCTTGAGATTGCCGCACATGCCAGCTTGCTGGGGCCCTGAGCTTAGGGCGAGCTTCTGGACCAGCCCAGGTGGAGAGGGCCCCGCAGGGGCCCGGAACCCCAAGGTCACAGTTCTGGGTGGAGGAAGTTAGCTCATAGCCCTCTTCTCCCTCCCCGCCCATCCCCAGTGCTTAGCCAGCTCCTGTATGCAGAATCCTGCTCTTAGCTAGCTGCCAAGGAAGGTGTTTGCTATCAGTGCAGGTGTTAGCTGATAACTCAAATGTTAGCTGATAAGCCATAACCCTCCCAGGGGGATTCGCATTTTAATAGACTCACTCCTAAAGGCAGAAAGAACCTTCCGCTTTCAAAGACGGCAGCTCTACCGGTGGGCTGATAGGCACTGAGCTCAGCATCGCGTGGCCCTCCTGCTGAGACCAGGGCTGGATGCACCGCCTCGGAGGGGGTCTGCCGCCTGGTATAGGCCACTGGTGAGGCCCCGAGTGTCTGGCCCCTCAGTGGAGGAGGAAGAATGAGGGTGTAGCCCCTTGGGGCTGGGGCGGAACCCCCGAGAATGGGTCTGATGGGAGGGTTGGAGGCAGCTGGGATTGTGTGAAGGTGGTTGGGCTGGTAAGAAGTTAGCTCCTCGCCTGGGGAAGCGATCAGGCAGCAAATGGGGCTGTGGGGAGGAGGCTGCAGTAGGTGCTTCGGGCCAAGGCAGGAAGCCCTCCAAGAGGCTGTGGTGTGTGCAGAGGAGGGAACGGCCTGCCCCGGGGGTGGGGGACTCACCCTTCTGAGCCTCGGACCCACCTGCCCTCCGACATCCAGCCTCCTGATCCTGTGACAGCGCGTTGCTCGGGGCCAGCTGGTGGGACCCCAGGCCCCAGCAGGAGAGCCACTGGAGGTGGTGGCCCCCGGCTCCACCAAAGTACCTGCAATTTCCTTGTTAAAGCCCAGCTCCCATGGTGCTGAGGCCTCCTCAGAATCAGGGCCGCCCTGGGGCCTCAGCATGTCCTGGAGCCAGGGCAGTGCACAGGGTCTGAGCCACAGCTCCCCTACCCCCTTGGAGCCAGAGGAGGCCCAGCAGCTGACCCACCTGGCAGGCCTGGGCAAGAACCTCCACTTGGGGCGCTTCTGGAGGAGCTCTGCCAGGCTGGCCCTGGAGTGTCTGCCAAGAGCCTCTCCCCCAGCCTGGCTTGTGGGCTGGTGGGGCTGGGGATAGCCCAGGGACAGTGCCGGGCCAACAGGAACTGAGCTCGCGTGGGTCCCAAGAAGGTGTCCACAGGTGCGAGTGTTCACCCCGGGAGGCCCCCGAGGGTCCTGGCTAACTTGAGTGGCAGGGCTGCAAGCGCCAGCTGGTGTGTTGGAGCTCTGGGCAGGACGGCGTGGGCCTCTGCAGGCAGGGCTTCCTGGCGTGGAGCAGCCCGGCCTCTGGACAGGGCCCAGGGTGGGCGGTCCTGGTGGCTCAGAGCCCTCAGCCTCAGCCTCAGCGCAGTCAGAAGGGGCTCTGCCAAGCCAAGCAGGGTCCCGAAGGGGAGTCATCGATGCACCTCTGGCCAGAGCTGTTGTCTGGAGGGCTGTCATTGGATGGCCCAAGTTCCGGGGCTCATTTCTGGTCGAGGTTGGAATACCAGCCCCCAGCACCAAGGCCCCGTCCGATTCCAAGGGAGCGTGTGATTCCCCAGCAGGTTTTGGGGCAGCAGCTTCCACGTGGCAAGGAGAGCAGGGATCACAGCACCTGAGTTTCCATACAGGACAGCCTATCCTGGGGCGGGCTGGTTCCCACACAACCCCCAGCCTCACGGGCCCCCTGCCAGCTAACTGCCCTCTCCTCTACCCACAGGGAGCCGGCTACTGGCCTGGGTGCTGTGGCTGCAGGTGTGGCGGGTGGCAGCTCTGTGCCCGGGAGCTTGCGTGTGCTACGACCAGCCCAAGGTGACCACAAGCTGCCCACAGCAGGGCCTCCTGGCTGTGCCCGCTGACATCCCAGCGGCCAGCCAGCGCATCTTCCTGCACGGCAACCGCATCGCGCACGTGCCAGCAGCTGGCTTCCGTGCCTGCCGCAACCTCACCATCCTGTGGCTGCACTCGAACGCACTGGCCCGCATCGACGCCGCTGCCTTCGCGGGCCTGGCCCTGCTGGAGCAGCTGGACCTCAGCGACAACGCGCAGCTGCGGGCCGTGGACCCCGCCACCTTCCACGGCCTGGGCCGCCTGCACACCCTGCACCTGGACCGCTGCGGCCTGCAGGAGCTGGGTCCCGGCCTGTTCCGCGGCCTGGCTGCCCTGCAGTACCTCTACCTGCAGGACAACGGGCTGCAGGCGCTGCCGGATGACGCCTTCCGAGACCTGGGCAACCTCACACACCTCTTCCTGCACGGCAACCGCATTCCCAGCGTGCCCGAGCGCGCTCTCCGAGGCCTGCACAGCCTCGACCGCCTGCTGCTGCACCAGAACCGTGTGGCCCGCGTGCACCCGCACGCTTTCCGCGACCTTGGCCGCCTCATGACACTCTACCTGTTCGCCAACAACCTCACGGCACTGCCCGCAGAGGCCCTGGCGCCTCTGCGTTCCCTGCAGTACCTGCGGCTCAACGACAACCCCTGGGTGTGCGACTGCCGGGCCCGCCCACTCTGGGCCTGGCTGCAGCAGTTCCGCGGCTCCTCCTCTGAGCTGCCCTGCAGCCTGCCCCGGCGCCTGGCTGGTCAAGACCTCAAGCGCCTGGCGGCCACCGACCTAGAAGGCTGCACCGCGGCTGCTGGGCCTTCCCGTCCCTTCTGGACTGGCGGGCCTGCCGATGAGCAGCTGCTGGGGCTTCCGAAGTGCTGCCAGCCGGAGGCTGCAGACAAAGCCTCAGTGCTGGAGGCCGGCGGTCCGGCCTCGGCCGGCAATGCGCTGAAAGGACGAGCACCACCCGGCGACAGCCCTCCAGGCAATGGCTCTGGCCCAAGGCACATCAACGACTCCCCCTTTGGGGCTCTGCCTGGTTCAGCTGAGCCCCCACTAACCGCCCTTCGTCCCCAGGGCTCTGAGCCACCAGGACCCCCCACCGTGGGGCCTCGCCGGAGGCCAGGCTGTTCCCGGAAGAACCGCACTCGCAGCCAGTGCCGGCTGGGCCAGGCGGGCGGTGCGGGCGGTGCTGGCAGTGCAGGCGGTGGTGCTGGAGACGCAGAGGGCTCAGGAGCCCTTCCTGGCCTCGCCTGCGGCCTCACGCCCCTTGGTCTTGCACTGGTGCTGTGGACCGTGCTGGGGCCCTGCTAACCAGCCCCCGATGGCCAGCAAAGCCTTTCTCAGTGGCTGGGTGTGTGTACATACGGGGTCCCCTCCACACTGCGACTGGCACCGGGGCGCAGGTGCCGTCCCTGAAGGACGCCTTCCACCCCTCACCCCATCTCCACTCCATCATGTTTACAGGGAGCAGTGGCCGTGTTTGTTCCAGAACACCGCCTCCCGCCCGGACTGCGGGGTATAGAAATATGCATTTTATTTTACTGGTGTAAAAATACTGGGCAATGTGGAATAAAGAGCTCTTTTCTAAGCTGTGGCCTCTCCAGCTGTGGGTGCTATGGGCAGTGAGAGGGGAGGTGGGCCCTGGAGGTATGGCCCTGCCCCACTCACAGCCCCACAGGGGACCCGAGACCAAAAGGAGGGCCCATCCCTGCAAGTGGCACCATCAGGGCTGTGGGTAGCTCGGGCTGTCTCAGCCCAGCAGCGCCCCTGCCCACCCCGCAGCCACACTGGGCTGATACCAGCATCCAGGGAGGAGAGTGTGTCCAGCACAGACCACACACCAGCCAGGGGAGCTAGATGTGGCTTTCTTGGTGGGGACAGTTGCTGTGGTGCCATGTGAGGTCCCTGGAGGTCCCAGTGCGCCACCCCAGCCAGCCTTGCCCAAGTGGCCCCCCAGCTCCCATGTGGCTTGGAGTGTTCCCAGAAGGCTCTTGTGCAGATGGGCCGAAGGACTGGGGTGTGAGGCCAGCTCTCTCACTTCAGGGGCCCGGCAGGGGCTGTGTGCACCCCCACACCCCTGCTCATGGTCACACGCCATACCTGTCATCACACCTGCTCAGGCGTGTGCCCGGGGCACCTGCACTTATACCAAGGCACACCCCAGACACAGGCCCACATGGGTCTGCATGACCCTGTCCACACGTGTGCATGCATAACACACAGGCAAGGCAGGGCCTGCACGTGGACACACACGCACACGCATCACAGGCAGAAACATGCACACACACGCTTCCCCCAGGCCTGGGTGGGGAGGACTCAGACAGCAAAGGGAAGGAGGACACGTGGAGGAGGCTTCCCTACCCTCCTCGGGCAGGGGCCCCGGGGAGAGGGAGAGGGAGGAAAACTCGGACTGGGGAGGGAGGAAGGGGGCGTTGCTGGTGGAGCCAGATGGCTATGAGGGCCGCTGGGGCTGCAGAAGCCCACAGGAGGGAGGGAGGACAGGGGAGGACGTGCTCAGCACCCAGGCCCCTTCTCCTCCGTCCCTCGGTGGGGCGCAGACCCTCCCTCCGCTGCCTGGGGCAGTATCAGGGCACTGTCGGGGAGGCGCCCCTACCTTTCCCATCTGGCCTTCACCCCTCCTCATCCGGGTCCTCCCACACACCCCATCTCTTCTTCCAGACCCTTGGGCCCAGGCCCCCTGGAGCTGCCCACCTCTGTGTGGTGCCAGCGGTCTGCCCCTCTGCAGTGGGTACGAGCGCGTCCTACCTCCAAGACCCAGCACCTTGCCCCTGAGCTCAGAAGGGGCAGCTCAGGCGAGCCCTACACAGGCTCTCACCCCAACCCCTCTAAGCCCCGGAAACCCAAGTGTCCCCCTTGAAAGCCTCCTAGGAGGCAGCTCTGTGGACTCTGGTGTCAAGGTGTTGGGCCACCATGGGCCTGGGCATTGGTGGGCAGAGCAAGAGCATGGGCAGGAGTTTCTTTGTCCATTTTTCTCTGAGCAGCCGCACTGCTGGGTGTGAGGAGTGGCAGGGCCCCAGGCGGAGACTGTGGGGCTCTGGCTGGGCATGGCAGCCCCTGGTCTCCCACTGTCTTCCTGGCAGCCGGGAAACTGCAAACGCCCATTCGCAAAAGGCTCTGAGGCCCACCTGAGCTCCTCAGCTTTCGTGCTTCCCAAGGTGGAAGTTCACTACCTCCGTTGAGCCCGCTCCTCACCGACACTTGTGTGCACTCAGGACAGTTTTCAGTCTGACGATGCCTGTCACCAGCAGGTAGAATCCCTGGAGGCTGCAGGGCCCACACTGAGCTACAACATGGCCCTTGGGTGCATCCTCCCCTCCCCCAGGAGGGAGAAACTGAGGCCGTGGTGGAGAATGGGAACCGACCAGTTATGCCGAAGGTGAAGCAGGTGAGTCCAGGTGGACCTGGGGCGTGTGCGCAGGGTCCCTAAGGCTTTGGGGACTGTGTCCCGAGCGGACAAGGGTGGGATCTGATTTCCTGAGAAGCTCCCTCTGGCTGCTTTGCCTGCAGTGGGGGCAGAGGGTGCGCAGTCTGGCCAGAGTGGGGTGGGGGGTCAGGAGGGACATGGCCAGGTTTGAGTTAGACCCAGCGGCGGGCAGGCTTCCTGGTGTCTGCATCCGGCACGGGGTGCCCCCATCCCTGGGGTGGGGACGCCGGGAGAAGCAGCCTCCCGAGTTGTCGAGGCCCAGGAGACATCTGGGCGGGGGTGTTGCGTGGGCTCTGCGGGCTGAGCTCAGGAGAGGGGGCCCGGGCTGGAGGACAATTTGGGAGTCATGAGCATTTGGGTGATATTTACAGCCTAGGAAGAGATGAGATCACCCGCCAGCCCGTGCTGGCGAGCGGCCGCGAGGGGTGGGCGTGCTGGGCCCGAGGCAGCAGGCTCAGCTCCTACCTGTTCCCGCCCCGACACCTACCCCTGGCTGGCCCCGCTGGTTCCTCCAGATCTGGTGGAGGTGTTGGGCCACCAACACCTGATGGACCTGGGCTGGAGGCTGGGCTGGCGAATGGGCGGGCGGCTGACGTTCAGCCTCTGCCTCCCAGACCCCGAGACCCGCGCTACCCGGGTGGAAGCTAATTAAAGCCAGGAGAATCGGTGTTGAGCACGTCAGCCTCCCCCGACACCAGCTACTGGTTTACCGCGGATGCTGCTGGCCCCAGGCCAAGGATGCCAGGCCAGCCACAGGACAGCTTGTGGACAGAACCCTTCACAGCGCAAAGGCCCGTCCTCGTGTCCCAGGCCCTGGCCTGGTGGCGGCTGCTGAACACAGCCGGTGGAGGGTGACGTCTCGAGCCAGGGCCCATACTTGGGTGAATGGGGTAAACGAGTGGCCGTGTCAGGGCACTGGGCCCGGGGCTGGGCTGCTCCCGGGGCCACTTCTCTGCAAGCCCTCTGAGGTTTGCGGGGCCCCAGGGCCACCCTGCGCTGCCCCCCATCTGCCCAGGGATGGCAGGCTTGGCCTAGGCCATCCTATGGGCGTACCTACCCCATTTACCTGGCTGCTGGGGCTTTGCACAGTAATTGAAATAATTAGTCTTTAATCCTTATACCGGTGTGAAATACTGCAAGCAGTAAAATGCTCAGCAGCCGATGGCACACGGATGTCCGGTGAGACTGAGAACAAGCAGGAAACCCGTTGAGGGAAATAAGTGTGTATTTGTTGGATGAGCTGGGGCCGCAGGCAGCCAGGCCGAGGCCTCTGTCACAGCCGGGGCATCTGCCCTGGCCACCAGCCCTGTGCCCGCTCTCAGCCACCCTGGCGTGGGGTGAGCGCCTCCTTCACCGAGTCTCATTCATGTCCTCGCAGGAAGAAGCTGCTGACAGTGTGCAGGCGAGGACCCTGAGCCCCAAGGTGTGAAGGGACATATCTGGGCAGGACTGGACCTGCCTGAGGCCACACTTGTTCAGACACACCAGCACGTGGCTCCCTCGCCCTGCCCCCGTGTCCTCGTCCCAGCTCCGGGATGTCACGTGACCCTGGACATCCATCTCTCTCCAGGTGCCAGTCAGCCTGGGAGTGCCCAGGCCCAGGGATGCCACTCATGCAGCGCGTGGATGCGCTCAGAGCCGTGTGACATGTGGCCACACCGGCACGACTTGTGTTAGTACATCCCAGCCCCTCCAGAGGCCTTGCTCTGGGTCCTGCCTCTCCCATTCCCTCTGTTTTCCCTCCCTGCGCTGGCCTGAGGCTTCCCTAGAGCCCGGTGACAGGCCTGGCTCCCTGCCCCTCACAGCCCAGGGCCGTGGCAGGGTCTCCACTTGAAGCCTGGGCAGCCCCAGGGAAGAGTGTAGGGGCCACTGCCCACCAGCATCCTGGCTTCGGCCCTCTCTGTGTAGTCAGGCTGGGATCCTGGGGAGACCCAGGGCCCTGCTCCCTCCCTCCCGCTACTGCCTACTGAGCTCCCAGACCTAGAAAGCCTCTGGGTTCTCAGGACCCTCCACTTCCACACCCAGCTCTGACATGACACCCTTGTCCAGAAAACCCTCCCTGACGCCCCCAGGCTGGTCCCCACCCAGCTGGGCAGTCAGCTGAGTGATACAAGTCACTCAGGGCTTGGGAAGTCTGGAGCCAGGCTGCGGCTGGGGCACATCGCCACATCTCAGTGGCCCTCAGTTTTCCTGCCTGTCCGAAGGAATGAGTGAACCCTCGTGGAAGGGGTCCCTGCAGCCCCCAAAGCCACTGTGAGGGGGCCAGCTGGGGGTCAGCTCAGGAGGAGCTCAGAGACTCTGAGACAGCCAAGCTCCCGGGAGAGAGGCTGGGCGGGACCTCCTGCTGCACCATCTCAAGGCCCTTCTTCCCTCCAGTCAACCCGCACCAATCACATGAGTCTGTTCGGCCCTCAGACCTAGGCACCAAGCACACACCTGGAATCCCAGGCCCAGCAGGTAGAGGGAGCCCCAAGGCCATGCAGCTTGTAGTGGGACCAGGCTGGGCCTATGAGCACACCCCACCCAGGGGCCACTGGAGCTCACCTCTGAAGTCTCTCTCCCTAAGCATTTCACACAGCATTTCATTCCTGCAGCCCATCGCACAGTGGGGCTGGCGGGGCCCTGCTGACTAAGGGGGAGGATGGGCCTCCATGGCCACTGGCAGGGACTCCCAGCTCCAGGGGTGTCCCGTCCTCTTTGCTGGGGCTTGTACGCTTTGAGCTTTGCAGCTGGGCTTGGTGGGGGAGTCTTCACTCTCTGCACCGAGTCAGGGCGAGAGGGGTTCTGCTCACTCTGGCATCCACCAGCCCGCCATGCACTTATTAGCGTGCTAGGTAAAACTAACGGGCCTCCTTCCTGGGCACTGGCAGAGGTGCTGCTGGGGTTTCGGGCATCACCCCCGGGCCACTGGGCAAGAAAGGGGCCTGCCTGGGACTGAGTGCGGGGAGGCCTGTTATGCAGCCTGGCATGTTGAGTCTGCCCGCGTGCATGCATGAGGGCGGAGCACCCTGGCCACGCTTCCCCCAGACGAAGCGGGCAGGCCTCGCAGGACCCCTTCCCCGGCCTGCTGCTCTGCTGGGAGGGCTAGTTACGCCCACTGCCGACAAACACTGGGAGCAGGAGGCCC